TTATAAGTGTCCTTTGCCTCCTAGTTCTTTCCTCTATTTCCTTTTACTTTCCTCTTGTCCCACTATCATGTTCAGCCTTCATTTGGGTTGCAGTCATTCCTCTTGGCTACACGGCCCTTCATCAAGTCCTACCAGGCATCCTATACTCTCCTCACTGATTTAGATCACTTGTTGTTCCCTTGTCCTTGGGTTGGTTGACATTCCCCTTCCTTTCTTGCACTTCTCCCTCTCCCATGTCCCTCTGGAACTGTCAGTCCCATTGTTTTCTCCTCTGGATTGTTTATCCTCCCTAGCCTTTATCATTTTCAAAACATTTTCTTTCTACTTGAGCCCTTGGTATCCACTCCCCCCACCCCCCAAATCATGTGTTTGTTGAATTTTTAAGTTTTATTAGTACTTTATCCACATATCATAAAATTTTGTAATTCAATCATATCAAGTAGAGTTGTACAATTGTCATATTTAATTCTAGAACATTTTCTTCTTTGTGGTAGTTATTTATGTAATTTTTTTCTAAGTGTGGCAAAAATATACACAACAGAACATTCTCTAAATCCACAATGTCTACTTGTATAATTCAGTGTCACTGACTATACTCTGTACAGCCACTATTGATAGCCTTTTATTCTACCACTACTGACATAAACTCAATGCCCCCTATGCAACAACTCTTTCCCCTTTACCTATGCTAACCATTGGTCAAATTGGGTTTCTTCTTCTTCTTTTTTTCCCGTGGTTTTCTTGATAGAGTATTTACATATCATATACTTCCATGGTTAAATCAAATTTAAAATGAGTTGTATAATCACAATCAGTTCTAGTGCTCCCTCCCCATTCCCGAATTCATTGTTCTTTCCCCAAATCCCCTCACCCTCCGTATCCAACCCCTACCCCGCTTGTCTACATCCCCTATAAACCCTTGCTTCAGTTATTATCTCCATGCATCTACTCCTTTTGTGCTTCACAAACTGGGAAACCCAAGAGAAACAATAAAAAACAAAATAATGTGATTGTGTTAGTCTGAGTTGACTAGAGAAACAAATTCATAGATACTTATATGCATATAAGAAAGAGCTTTATACACGAGAGCAATTGTATATTGAGAAAACATCCCAGCCCAGTCCAGATCAAACTCTTAAGTCCAATATTAGCCCATATGTCTGATACCAATCTATAAAGTCCTCTTCAGACTTACAAAACACATGCAATGACGCCGAATGCAGGACGATCACAGGCCAGTCTTGTGAATCCAGTGGTGATGTAAGCATCTCAGTGCTGGCGTGGGTCTCCACATGGCTCCTCCAGCTCCAGGGCTCTAGCATAGCTCCATGTGTCTTGTCATCAGGAATACGAAGCAGAGAGTGTGTAGCGGAGAGAGTGTTTCCCACCTCCAGGGAAGAAGGCAGGAGTTCCCCGAATCCTCAGGAGAAGGCCATGCCCACAGGAAGGCCTCATTGACTCTAGCTGGATTAACCAGCTAGGCTCCGCTCCTCCGCAAATTGACAAGAGATTATGTAATTGTCACAGTGATAAGGATAAAATAATAATATAAAGATAAAAATACAATGAGTCAGAAAGAAAAGACCATAATTAATATTTTAAAAGTCTGGGAAGAAATGTTTTGTCATGAAAGAAGCAAAAAATACTTGAGCCTAGAACAAATTCAGGTTGGGTCAAGAGGGAGGTCAACTGACCAACTACCAAACTCAATTT